AAAATCCGGGCCGGGCCTGAAAATTTTATTTTCAAAAAAGCCGGGCTGAGCCTGTAAATTTAAAATAAAAAGCCGAGCGGCCTAAAAATTTTTTTAAAAAAAGCCGGGCCAGTCCTAAAAATTTTTTTAAAAAAAGCCGGGCCAGTCTTAAAATTTTTTTTAAAAAAAGCCGGGCCAGGCCTGAAAGTTTTTTTAAAAAAAGTCGGGCCAGGCCTGAAAGTTTTTTAAAAAAAACCCAGGCCGGGCCGTAGAAAATCTTTAAAAAAAATTCGGCCCGTGCCATGCAAATGGTACTTCTGCAGGCCTCTGTTATTCTTCTTAAAAAAGAGAGTGTTCTCTCATTAGTTTACTAATGGGAAGAGTTTATAAACCCTTTTAATACATTGGGAATTTAATCTAATATGTGTTTGAAATAATGCAGAGCATCCATAGCATTTTTTGGGACTATATCAACTATAGTTAATCTTATAAACATAATTATTCAGCTAGTAAGGCATCATAAGATATTTTAACATCTTCATAATAAAAATCTAACAAATATTTTTTTTTCTATCACCATCTGAAAAAGGTTGGGAAGGCTTTTGTGGAAGTAATATTTGCAGATGTAAGTGCTGCATGATATATTAAAAATTCATTTATTTTGGTTATAAATGTATCTGCATCTAAGATATACTCTTCTACTGATCCTATATTAATGTTTTAACGATGAGCTTGCCTTGTTACAAGTCGAGGGAGACAAATATTAAACACGTATAGCTCTGCTTTTGACTCAACAATAAAATATGAAATTCTTCATCAACATTAGCCCTAATTTCTTTGAGTTTTGATAAAATGCTCTCCGCTATTCTCATCTTCTTAATCAAATCAATGTCATGTTTTTGAAAGGTAATACTTAAAATAGTTGTATAATTAAATAATACATTCTAATGAGAATTAAAATTTGGAATAAGCATTGAATCCAATAATTTTCTTGCTTCTAAGGAAATATTTCTTTCAGGCCATTGTGATATTTCAGTAATAGCGAATAATTGGCTCTTCTAACTCCTTAATAGCTGTTAGTGCTTGATGGAAGAGGCTCTATCTCGTTGGACAAGGTTGCATTTTCTTTTTCCCTGTTGGACCAGAAGTTTCAAAAATAATTATTATTTGACTAGAAATTTGAAAATGGTAGATAAATATTATGCCACTAAAAATTTGAAAATAATAAGTAAATATTACGCCGGAAAACTTGAAATCGAAATTAATTGATAAAATAACTTATGAATATGATAATAAATGTAATAAAATATATATTTAATATGAGATACGAATAAATATTAACAAATATAAATTAATATAAACAATAATATTTTTGAAAAATATATCCGGCATCTGCATTTTTTGGCTTTGGGGGGGAGGGGATTTGTCCCCCCTGCCCCCCCCCCCGCTGCGTACGCCAATGCATCTCCCTCTATCAATAATTAATTTATTCACATCAAAATTTCTTAAGCTAAATGATATTTTTAATCATTTTTAATAATACAACTGCAATAGACATTTAAAATTAATTTTCTCTTTTAAAGAAAAAAATTTTTATTTAAAAGAAAAATAAAAATATAATAAAAAATTTTATCTTCCTCCTTTATTTATTAAAAAATATAAGCATTTTTTTTATTTGCTTCCCCAATGCTTATTTTTTAAACGCAAAATTTTATACAATTCATTAGCATGATTTTCTTTTTATTTATAAAATATATACGAAATTTTTTTAACTAAGTAAGATATACGAAGATTATATTTATTTAATTTCGTAATAAATTAAAAATAATTTCATAGGAAACGATACTTCCTTTGTCTATGGACGCTTAATCAATATATATATATAAAATGTTTAAATTTTGGATGTTTAAATTCATAAAAAAATGTAGAACGCGATCTTAGCTCAAGAGAATACTAAAAATATTTTTTAAAAATATTTTCTTATTGGATTAATCGAATAAATGAACATTCATTTCCTCGTCATCAAACAATGAATTTCTATAAACTCCTAGATTAAACCATAAATGCTGAATCGTATGCAATTATTATTGAAGCCTCCCCCCCCCCTCCTTTACTCCAATATCATATTTACTATAACAGCGTGCACATAAGCAGGAAATGTGGGAGGGGGTAGGAACATTTTTTTGAAGGGGGTAGACATTTAAGGAGGGTAAACTGGGGGTCGGATATATTTATTTGGTAGTTACCAATTAAATTTTTAGATGAGATAGGGCAAAATATTATTACTGTAAAAAATTAATACTTTTATTATAGACCTACAAACATCCACCTAATCTATTGAGATTTATGGTCATTATTTATCAGATAAAATTTATTATAATTTTCAGCTATATTTTAAATATAATTTAAAAGGGTTGGATATTCTATCAGCAAGCCGATATTCATGCCAAACAACATACTATAAGAATGCATTCAATGTAAATGAGAGAGTTTTTAATTTGATTCTTGAAAAAATAGACATTGAAAATTTTTTGATAGTTGGTAGTAGAATATTAAAATTTTAAGTTATTTATTTGAGAATTAGGGGGATACTACCATAATTAATAACGGTAATTAGTAAAATGATAATATCGCGCCCGACGGTTGCAAATTTTTTTTAGGATAGGTAGATATAGCCTATTGAAGGGTTTACCTCCAGTAAATATCCTGAGATATAAACAGTGACCTTATTAAATTTCTGATTAGATATTTATGTTTAAAATATTTCCTATTAAAATTTAATATCTTTATCATATGTATATCTGTGAAGGTGGCCGAATGATTGGAAGCACTAATCCTAAAATCGGGGTTTGTGCTTTATTAGTATGTGCGTATTACGAGTACGACCAGTAAAGTCGCTACATATTGTTGTTGTTAAAAGCTAATTTTAAAAGTAGCGAACTATCCCTAAAGCTAACGTTTTCAAAAAAGTATCGCACTATCGTTATCGCTTTAAAAAAATAGCTAAGGCTACTTTTCACGCTATTTTGAAATTTAAAAATAATTTTACGTATCATCTATTTCCACAAATAAAAACTGTGACTTAAATTTCAAATATTATATTATTTATTTATTTTTTATTGTATCTCAATAATTATAACATTTCCATACTGTCATCCCCAGGTCTAGAAAAAGTATAAGTTATGACTAAATAATCGTTCAACACTAACACGCAGCAGTATTAAATTTAATATATATATTTTTTTCATCAAAAATATTCATTCGAGTTTTTTTGTATTTAAAAAAATAGGGCTAAAGGATTTTCAATACTATTGAATCAATAGTATTATATCAAAAATATCAACTTTAGTGGGTGGCGTTTTTAATCTGGCATTTGTTAGTCTAAAAATATAGTAATTGTTGGAATAAAAATTATGTATGGGATAAGTGGATGATATGTTTGCCAACTTGCCAAGTAACACCCTTCAACTTTTTATCTATTGGATAAATTTCACTCAAAATTGGTTAATGTGAAAGGATTAAAATAAGTATTTAACATGTTTTGGTAAATTGTTATATATATAAAAAGATGCAGGGTTAATTTCTAGCACGCTTAATATCCATATAATAATATATAAAATATTATCATTAAATAGATGAGACTGAGAATAAAATAAAATTTTAATATAATTATTAATTATTAATTATAATTTTTAATTTGTAATATCATCTTTGAATAATATCTTATTTTAAAGATTAAGAAATGGGCTACACATTGATATATTACTTATAAATCATTCCTCTTTGAAAGCTACTAGTCTTGATTAAAAAAGATATTCACGAAAACATCATATTAGCAATGACGAGAATATTCCCCCCCCCCCAACCCAACCCCCTACCCACATCCCTAATAGTTACGCGCCGCCTGATATCATATATGATAATTATTATGTCATTGAGATTTATTTTAATGATTATAATAAACTAAACCCATTATTATAAAATGAAAAACGATTAAAGAAAATAAATGGTCTATATTTATCTTAACATTTTTATTGTTATTTCATTTTAATATAGAAATATTAAAAAATTTAAAAATTTGCAAGATTTTATATCAATATAAGCCTAAGTTAGAATTACGAGAATAGAAAATGTTGCCCTTCTTGCTCCTCAAATTAATGCTAAAACAAAATACAAAAATTACATTAAAGACAAAATTAAAATCTACTTTTAATATTAATTTACCTCAATAATTCTTTAATATGATATAAAAATTATTTAAATAATTGATAATGTTAAATGTTTGTCTAAGGTTCAAATGTTAATAGTTTTTTTTAATGAATAAAAATGATGTGAAAGGAAAATGTTTATTTATGCTAAATATATCAATGCTAAAACAGACGGAAAAAGTTACACGGATGATATGGGATCTGTGCAGACACCAAGCTACAAAAATCAGTATAAATCATGAACTACCGAACAAAATCAAATATTATTTTGCATATACAATATACTTTACCTAAATATATTAAGCCACTAAAAGATCTAGATAAAACATGATAAGAATTTTGAGTAATAACGTTTTATAAATGATTAGAGTATGTATAGTCCCACTTATTATATAAAGGATTAAAAGCTATAGAAAATATGTATTTATTATTAATAAAATAATGCAGGGTTTCTTTGCTTACAAGTATTTTGATTTTGAATCTAAACTTACAATAAAATTTTAAAAATCTGTAGTAATTCTTCAAATATTCAAATTGAAAATATTGGGCAGAAAGCTATTTAACTCGTTAATATCATTATTATTTTCGTAAAATTCTAAAACCCGGGTTCGATTCGATTTTGATTGGGCCACTTAATCCTGGAACCCAAGTACTTGGAAATTATAGTTAGTTTATAAAAATTTAGCAGATAAGGTATCGGATTAATAAATAGTTTAATAAAATTTGGACGTTGTTTAATATTTAAATTTCTATTATAAGTAGATTTTATCCCACAACATATGTTATTGATCGACATCTGACAATCATTAATAAGTTATCATTTTATTTTCTTAATTTGTAATCAAGATGTGAAGTAATCTCGTGTAAAAATGTGATGGAAAAGTTTATTCTTATTAAATTCTATCTAATTTTGCTTTACTAATTAGAGAGGCACTATTTAAAGATATATTGTCAAAAGATATTATAGATAAAAATATTTTAGAGAGTTTATGCTTTTCAGGTTTTCTTAAACATTAATTTATAATTTAATTTATAATGTTCATAGGAATCCCAGATGATTTTAATTTAAGGCCTAGTTGTTGGAAGGTATTTCATTGAAATTTACTTATTATATAAGTTTTTAATTAGTTACTATTAGATTACATGCCATTAAAAGTGCCAGAAAGAAATGAATCTCTTATTAACCACAGGTAATACAATTTTTATTTATTTAATAAAAAATTATTATCAAGATTCCGTTATCAAACACTCCTTCACTCAATTATTATAGATGATAATTTTATAGATAATGAGGATAAAGATCATGTAAGATATTTATACAATATCTTAACCAAACTATTTTGTGTAGCCATTAAATTCACATCCCAATAGTTATTGGTCTTCATATTTCAAAGACAATGAAATTTTATTGCAAATCAATAAGGATGTAAGGTTTTTAATTAATTTATAAATAAATATTATGGTAATTGTGATTAAAAATATAACATTTTAAGCTATATATAGGGATTTGTTAATATATAAAAATTGCCTGTTTCTGACACCTTCATAATATGTAAAAATAACTTTACCTTCTTCACCTACTTTTTACAATTTTTTAAATACTAATCACTTTTAACATGTAAAACACATTTTAAAAAGATATATCAAAGTTCTAGAGAAAGTCACACCTCATAGTTAGGGACATGAAGTGAAGGGCTTTATTATAAGATAATATATATAAATGATTATACAAATTGTTTAATATTTATAATAGTTAATCTTAATAATTTTCAAAAACAATTTGATGATCAAAAATTATTTACTATACAATAAACGTTTTATATTTTATATAAATCAGAGTCCTGCAGAGTAACTATTTGCATGAGCCAGCCCAGATTAAAAAAAAGATTTGTTTGGCCCAACCCATTTTTTATATTTCTAGCTTGGATTTTTTTTAAAAAAAATTTCTATTTAAAAAAAATTAAGATATAACTATTTGGCATTTTATGAATCATTTTTCAACAAATATGAAATCCATATTTAATGACTTTTTATATTTTATCTCCCTATTTGTCGTAAAATGAGTGAGTTTGAATCACAACAACTTCAATTTGACAGGTCGATTGTAATTCCTCATTTCCTGTCCCTCTTGTAATTTAATATAGTCTTTTATATAATCATCAGTCAATTTTTCATCTCTCCATGGCCAGTGGCCCCTACACTTTCTGAGCGAATGAAGCAGAATACCCCCCTGAAAAGTACCCCCCCCCCTTCCTCGAAAAAATTATAATTATTTTATGACACCCATAAATTTCAAAAATAATTTCTTTGCATCAATTTTTAATATATATAAATAAAATGCAAAAAATATATACTTTATAAATATTATTTTTAAATTAGTAATTTAGATAAATTAGGGAAAGAGAAAGCGAAAGAATTTATAATTTCATCAATATTTAATTGTTTAAATAAATTTTTTTTTATTGATAATATGGTAAAATTATTGAGAAATGAATCTTTCATGGTACTACAAAGTCTTTTAATTATTTTAATTTTACTCATGACTCTTTCGGCAGTACATGAGGTTGTAGGAATGGTTAATAAATATTTATATAAAATTCTTAAATTAAGGAAAGCAGAAAAATTTAAAAGTAGACGACAATGTAAAGTAAATGAATAGTTTTTCCAATCTGAATCGTTAGCCCCTGATTTATCAGCATCATCAGAAGAAGTTAAATAATGTATTGGTAAAAATATTTTAATTAAATAAATTTACAATTATCAGAATCTGACAAATCTTTAGATTCTTGAACCTCTAGGTTATGAGTAATAATTACATTCCCTATTTTGGCCATCTTATAAATATTTCTAAACTTCAACATTTCTTCGAAAATTTGACTTGAATTTAAATTGTAAAATTCACAGATATCCTCGATATCTTCTTTAATAATTGATTTTTCTGCCACATTATTTGGCGTAAAAAATGATGTTTGATGTAAAAATTTTATCGAATCATCATTAAATCTTTCGTTAAACTGTATAATAATTAAATCGAGTGCAGCATAAAACACACCTATTTTAAAGCTAAAAAAAATTTCTATATTTAATGATGAAAGTATATATACCTCCTCTCCTTTTTGGATTGTAATGTTTGAAGTTTAGAACTTTTAAAATCAAAAGGTAGATTTCTCTTCTTCATAAAATCTCGTGCCTTTGAAAAAACATCCAAAAATTCAGTGTTATTATCTATTAGATTAAAAAATAACTAAGACAATAATTTATATTATACTTTTAAAATTAATCAAGCAATCTTTTGCCAATTGAATTTGATTTATTGCAAACCCTATATCCTTCGAAATGGTTTGCAATTTTGTACAAGCCAAATTTGTTATTAACAATATTTTATCCAAAACACTAAGTGATAAGATAAAATCAAATTTTTATATTCTAAAGACTATAGCACTATCCATAATGGAAGTGGCAGGATCTTCAGAATCCTTTAAATTTGTTAAAGCTGCCCTCAAGGCATCATAAAGTAGAAAAAAATTTACAATAGCTTTATATGACGATCAGCTTCTAAATAAAAAAACATTTTAAATATAAATAAATAAGGTACTATTACCGAGTGGTATTATTGATGCGTAGAAATCGTTGCGATTTTTTCAGATCATTACACTGAAATATTTTGAGTACCTCATATCTTTTTACACCATTAAAATAGATATAAATCTCATCTAGTATTCCTAGAACATTTGAAGTTCTTTAATTGATTGGCATAATTGAACAATGATTAAATTTAATCAATGACAATAACACCAAATAAAAGCTGCCTTTGGTGCCTCTGCTCTAATCAAGGCCTGAACAATTGATTCTTCCACTCATGTTTGAGGCGCCATCATAACTTTGCCCAATTAGGAATTCAAGGGGTAAATTCATCGAGCCAAGTTTGGACATTATATTATCCTTAATATTGAGACCTGTGGTATTTCCCGTACAATATATGTCAATCAGTCTTTCAACAGGCTTCGGCATCTCACTATTTTCAACACATCTTAGTCAAAGCTATTGCTTCTGATTTCGAAACATCATATGTGCCATCAACTATGATTGAAAAGCACCTGTTAAATTCAATCTCATTTTGAATTTTTTTATAACCATATTTTTCATGGTTTAATGAGAATATTTATGTTATTATATGTTAATAGATTTGCATATGATTTCGTTTTTAATCCCTTATTGTATTTCTCCCAGTACAGGTTCAGAATCTGCAATGAGTTTAATAAGGCCCGTCATATTGCCTTCTTGTAGCCTGTTCCCCAGAAGGCTTGGTTACGAGATATTAAATAACCTAGACATCTTATTAATATTCTTACGATAGAACGGTTATTATCCACACATTCTTTCTGGGGTATTATAAATTGTAATATAGAATTTTTGTTGTGTGTGAAAGCTTTCCATAATCGGCCATCATATGTGTCTGTGTTCATGCACAATAATATCGCTATTAAATTTCATGATCATTAAAAGAGTCAGATATTTTATTTTTTTCTAACAACATTTTATTATTTTTGGTTAATATTTTTTGGCATATTTTGAAATTGAAAAAATAATTTATGACAAGAAATCTCGGATAACAACCTAATTTACTAAACATCGATCTAAAATTTCCGTCAATACATATTAAATTAATAAATAAGTCGGGGGGTGGGGTCTTATTATTACATATATAAACCAGAAATCAATTGGTTATGGATGGATGTAGCAAAACAATAAAAAAAAATTTTCAGGTATTAAAATAAAATTTTTTTTAAAAAAAGTACCCCCCACTCAAAATTTAAAAAAAATAAAAAGTACCCCCACTCAAATTTACTGAAGCAGTTGCTTCGGACCCCCCCCCCCCCCCGTTGTAGGGGTCACTGTCCATGGCAGCATGCATAATTAGCTGAATTTGAGAAAGAGAAAAAGAGTGATTATCTAATAAAAATTTTCCCTTGAAAAGTGTATTATATTTTAAATATTGAGTGTATATTTGTTGCTTTATAGATAATAATAGTAATGTTGTTAAAGGGCTCAATTTTTTAAAACGGCTAACCCATATTTAAAAAAAAATAATTACGCAAGCCTGAAGATTTTATTCCTAGATGGCCCAAAGGTTTATATATCTATAAAAATATTTTTGACTAAAATATTTGATATTTTAAAAATTGAGCCATTTAACAAAATTAATGGCAATTTAAAATATTAGGCCATAAAATATTTGCCTAGTCCAGGTATTTAAAAAATTTTTTTAGGCCCAACTTAAGTATATTTTAAATAAAAAAAATTAGGTTGGGTCTGCAGATCTCTGATAGTCATTAGGTTCTTATATAATCCTTTAAGAGGTTAAATTTGTGGGCCTTGTATCAACAAAAAATTACATTTCTTGTACTTTTCTGATAAAGTAAATTAAACTTTGTTAGATCATATAGACTAAACCTAGCTCACATTAGTTCTTGGTCTATATTCAGGTCACAAAAAGTAATACACAAATGTATATAATGTTTACTATATCCAAATTTTTAATATTATAATATAGATGGAATTTTGGCTGGACTTGGAAATTTAAGTCAAGCCAATTTTCATTGTGCTCAAGTTTGCTATAATGAGTTTATACTTAGAACCTGGGTAAAAATAATTTTAAAAAAAACGACAACTCTTAACTTGCAAAAAAGGAAAAACCAACCTAGATTATAATAATTTGATCAGGAAAACCTGACGATAAAATTTAGCCTGTAGCTATAGAAAAATCTATTGTTGAGGAAAATTATTGGTCCAATGAATATATTTAACCAAAACCTTATTTTCAGACGTCTCTGTCCGCACATGCAGTTTTTTCAGAGGCTCACAAAGTATCCCAATTCAGAAACGCTAATTGAAGGCAAATCATTAACACAAAGGGTTCACATGTCTCTACTCAGGAACGAAAGTTTGACGAAAGAAAAATCTGGAATCATCAATGTATACCTACCTTTTTTTAAATTTTTTTTTATTCTACACACAATGAAACTCCTGACAATGATCGCTTTAACGTAGGTAGTAAACTTTTGATATTTTTTGAATGATCAGTCTTGCCCATCATAATTTACTTTTCTTATTCTTATCGAATTCAAAAATGAGGAGTTGGTAAAAACCTTGAATCTATTTGATTTTATTAAAAACGGATAATTTTGCCAAAAGACAATTACAATTACTAGAGATACTATAAAAATAAGTAGGTCTTATAAAATTTATTATATGTTAATAAAAAGGTTAGTTGGCATGATTATTTATACGGGGGGTTTAAACGATTAATTAGGTGATCTTAAGTTTTATAAAAATATTCTGTAATTTTTCTTAACCGATAATTATGTAAATTTGGAATATTCAATATCAATTTTTAATATTTGATTTCGATTGTGGTTTTGAATTTTATGCGAATATTAGTATATCATGAAGTCAACGATTCCCTCCTATTAATCTGAAAGCGGTCCAATGGCTGGATCTTGGCCCATCCAATCTATATCTTCCCTGTAAAAACTTAGTTATAAATAATTACATAATTTCTTGTATAATTCAAAGTTAAGCTTACCTAACAGCAGACACCACGATTTTTCGAATAATAATTCTACCAATGAAAACGAGGATACAATCAAATGCCAACCTCATGATAAAGTATCTAACAACCATTCTTCCAAACAACTCTCGCATTTAAATTTCAAGGAATATCACTGGGAAGTTTGTCAAAGAATATTGTTCGTTTACGCCAAATTAAATCCGGGCCAAAGTTATATTCAGGTTTGGGGAAATTATTTCAAAATTATCTTATATATATATATATATTTTGCGCTCTCATGATGTTTGTTTCTATTCAAAAACAACGGAAGCTGCCATTTTGGAGCTGGTCAAACTTAGGTGATTTAACAATACTATTCAAGTGTTTTCATATCTTTTTTTAATATTATTCAATCAAAATATATCTGAAATTTTTCGATAAAATTTTTTTTATAAAACATTTTTTAACAGGGAATGAATGAGATTTTGGGGCCAATTTATTACGTCATGGCCAATTTCAATGACGAATCCGAAAAAAGTAAACTCATGAATTTTGTTTATGAGAAATGCTCTACAATATAAAAAAAATCTTCAAATATTTTTGATCTCTAAATAAAGATAAAAAAATGGAATTTTTTTTGAGAATTGCTCAGGCAGGATTCTTAATTATTTCCCATCTTTTTTATCCCAGTTTGATAGGCTTTCTGAAAATCACAAGCATTGTTCTGCTTTCTCATCATCCTCTACTATCATCGAATATTTATCTCTATCTGATAGTTTTGTTAAATTAGCTCGATTTGAGCCGATTTTTAAAAATGGATAACTCAATATTTTAACTGTTAATATAACTTTTGTGCCATATATGAAGCGAAATCTTCTGGCTTGCGTAATATTTTTCTGGATAAAATATTGAGCTTGGCACCCATACATAATTGGTTTGTCTCAAGATCAAAAATAAGAGGCTGGCAGTTCTTTGTACCCTTCTTAAAAAATCGGCTCAAATCGAACCGTTTAACAACGTTAGAACTCGATACAATTAACAACCTAAACCCATTATAATTTTTTTTCTTCCTAGAAGTGTTAACCGAACTTCTGTACGAAAAGGTTCTCCACTCTTTAGAAAATATATTTTTTTAAAATGCGCTCAAGAAAGAAAAAAACAACATTAGGAGCTTACTATTCCCAATTTCGAAATTATATTTTTTTGTGTTCCACCCTTATTTATTTTTTAATAACAAAAAAAATAATAAGTTTATGCCGAGCACGATTCCTTTTTTTGTTTTACCAATTTGATGTCTGAGGTCAGGGATAACTTTATACCTCACATGGATATCGACAAAGATCATGGAATAGGTTCGCATTTTTTATGATATAGTCTAATTCTATTAAAATTGTTCGTCATATTTAACAAGTACTACAGTTTATTTAGGTTAATTCTGATGGTTTCCTCTATCGCAAAACGCGAAATACTTAAAAAGCGAAAAACTGGAAATATTTTTTTCAAATATATTTTCGAAGATGATATTTGATGATATTATTTATGATGAGATAGGGAAGATGCTTTATGTTTAAATTCTTGTTTTTTTAATAAAAACTTAGTTGAAATATAAGTATTTACTTCCTTACCATCGATATAGTTTTTTGAGAATATATAAGAACTGATGTTTGAGTTGCATCAGAAGGTGACTCCTCAGATTCACCTTCTGATCTATTTAAAGGCATGTTAAATCATAGATTTATGTACTATTTAAGGAAACCCCCAAATACTTTTATTAATATACACTAAAAAAACAATCACTTTAATTATAAACTAATATTCCAATTACTATATTATGAAAACCGTAATAAACAAAAAATATGAAGAATAAATAAACAATTTGTTCTTTAAAACAAAATTATAATACGAAAATAGGTCGTGCTTGTTTTCCTCTCTTAAATCGCATACGATCAGGGCTTCAGTCGGAGAGGGGCGTGTCTTCGCCAATTAATTTTTTCTTTAGCATGCTTCCTCCATTTTTTTTTATAAAACACATTTTTTTATAATGTTATATGGTATTTTAGCGAATTATTAATTTTTTTATAATGAAATAAACAAAAAAGTATATATAATTTAATCGTACATTTTTGAATCTAAAAATAGTGCTTAAAAACAGAGTACCCAATGGAAATAAATAAGGGAATGTCATTTTATCAGTTTTGACTAGCCTGTTACATGCTTGAGTAGAGACGAAATTTGTATATTTTGATTCGTAGATTTACAAGAGCACAACGGCTTAAATATAGAACATATTTTGCATTCTTGATCTTCTTTGATTAAAATTGTAAATATTATCAATTTACAAATTAAAATCGCTATCCTGGTAAGTGAATCTACTACATTGTCAAATCAACCGGGCTTTTATATTTACGTAAAATAGGCATTGGGGTCTTCAAATGAAGATCCTATTTTTATATTAGACTTAATTGAACTGGAATCAAAAGATGCAAAGGGGATAGCTCACACCTTAATTGATCTTCTTAAATCTGTCGGGGTTTTCTGAAAATATTTTGCAAAATTTTCGATTTCTTCTGTTAGTGATGCCTCCTATCTCATGATGGGGAAGGAATCTGATGTATTACTCCTCCTGACGCACTATATTAGACGATTATACCCTTGCTTTATTTATATAACCGTTTAAGCAGTAACCGATGAAATAAAAGTGCTAATCACGTTAAAGTCTTTATTGACACGATATATAATTTATATAGCCAATTTAACAAAAATCAAAAGGGTTTGGATAAAGTTTCTATATTCGGCATTCAATTATTGTGAAGATAGGAAGGTTACTTGACATGCTTACTGTTTTAATGGATTATATGCAAAATAGGTAATGAGCTAATTCTGTTATTCTAGTTATTAAAAATACTATATTAAATTATACGATTTTATCTTTTAGCTATCTTATCGATATGTAATATTTAAAAAAGATAACTGGCTAGCAGATCCTCGCATTTGGTATGCGGAAGAGACAATTAAACAACTTTATTTCATTTTGGCGGATTTGCGTGCAAGGCTTATAATAAAACATATTTCCAGTTTTTCTTTCCCATATATTAAAAAGTGACTGACAAGTCACAGGTCTGCAAACGATAATCAATTAAGGAAACGTTCGGTTAATATTATTAAAAATATTGAAAAAAATATGCTAGGGTGAATATTGTAGTTTTTTTTCAGTATTTTTTTTTTAAATTCGATACTTATAGTTATTTTATAATTATGATCAGTGTATTCTTAAAAATTGCGTCATTTTTTATGTAATATATCAATTTAATGTATTATTTATGAAATGCTTCGATATAAACTAATAAAAAATAATTTCGCCTCAAATTCTTGCTTAAATTAAAATTCGTCTCTATTTTTTGCATGTTTTAGCGTGCCACTTCCTATTTCTTTAGAGTATTAGTGTGCCCCCGCCGCAAATTTTAGGACTACAGCACTGCATATAATGTAATCCTAACTTTATTTTTACTAACCAACCACGTTTATACCCCACCCCCTCTTCTGGGCCTCACTACTAGTCAGGAAAAAGTTATACTACAAATACAAATGTGTGTTAATTTTGCCAAAACGGTTACCCAGGTTATTTTCTCTCTATAACATTTATTACGTACTCATCCTTACGCAAGCCGTTAATAATTATATTAATCTCTGAATAATTACGTTTTCTCCTCATATATTTCCAAATCATTCAGATGTAAATCATAAAAATTAATGTTACAAAATGAAAGACATTATTTTTACGGGGAAGAGTATAAATTGCTTAGTATATAACTAATAATAAAAATTCTCAACATAAATATTCCCAGTTTTTCATTTTTTCCCAAATTTTATACAAACAATTAAATCAATGATTCAATAGGTGCACAAATGAAGCGGCTTAAAGATATACTGCTTCAAATTGATCCAGATATCCACGCCCATTTTGAAAGGCAAGACTTGAAACTTCATTACTTTTGTTACAGGTGGTTGATGCTTTTATTTTCTCAAGAATTTAGGCTACCCGGTAATAAATTTTTTTTGTACAAATTTTAAAATAAAATATGTCTAATAAAACAAATTAGTAAAAAATTAGTAAAACTGTCTAATAGTATGACCATCCAAATATTTTTGGCGGCCTTTGTTTTTTTTGTTAGCCTGTTGATTGAGGTGTATTTTTATTTATTTCCTATTAAGTTTAGTTTAAATAATGCTATTTATTTTGCCTTTAACATAATTCAAGAAAAATAAATAAGCAAAAAATTTAAAATGGTACTTTAATAACATAAAAACAGGTTGCTATAAAAAGTGTGGCACGGACCGCGCTGCTATTTCCCTGAGTTAATAAAGTATCTAGTTCAAAAATGTGGTCCTTATCTAGATACACTTTTACATAAAGTATCCTGCCCGAGGCAAGAGGGTTTAACTTCAGTAAGCTTTGTTTTTAGGTAGATTATTAAATTGGAACTTTACAACTATCTTATTTTTCGAAAACGGTTAAATCCGGTTGATAATTTTATAAATATTGGCAAATGTGATAATATGTTTTCGTAATAAATTAAAAAAAAAATTTTTTATGCTTCCTATATTAATTTAACTTTAGAATATTCGTATTTATACTTCTATGAATGGCCACAATGTTTATGAATATTGAAGTTTTATTTCCGGTAAGCATTTGTGCATTCCATACCGCTCAAAAAATAGGTTCGTTCTACGTTTTGCAACGTTCCGAAACATGTTCCTAAAATTTTTATTAAATATACAATTTTTATTCATCAATCTTTATAATACAGATTTAATTATTACATCTAAATATTTATTAAGACATCTCTGAAATATTATAATTTATATTTGTGCCATGATTATAATAAGAATATCTAATTGTCGATCAAACCTCTCCTAATAGAGATCTGCAAAGTTAGGCCCGTGCTCGGGCCTAATTCTATTTAAACTAATCGAGTTCGGGCCGGGTCTAATATTTTTAAAAAAAATTCGGGCCGGGTCGGGTCGGACCTTGGATTTTTTTAAAAATATATCTAAATTTATCAATTTTATATTGGATTTTTTATGTAAAATAAAAATATTTGATTTTACTTATTGAAATTAAACGACATATAACATATGTCTTTTATTTTGAGATTTATATATTTAAATAAATTCGGGCCGGGCCGGGTGGGTAAATTTTTTTTAAAAATTTCGGGTTCTGGCCGGGCCGGCAAAACTTTTTTAAAAAAAATTTCGGGCTGGGCCGGGCTTGAAAAATTAGACCCGATGCAGATCACGACCTCCTAAACACTAACTTTGTAACAAAATAAAAACCTTTATTATACGAAATTAATCTTAACAAGCCCGTTGAAATTGTTTTAAATTTGATTTTTTAAAAAAAGTTTTTATAATCTTAAATCGCATATGCTAAATAATGCTTAATAATGTTATGTGAAGCAAACTGGAATTAAAAAAGGAAAAACGGGCATTTATGAATGAACTATTATAAATAATATATATAATTATTTACTATAAAATTTCCATATTATTTTCCAAAACTGTTCCAGGAACCTTCCAAATTTTTCAAAAGTTCTTTTCTCTCCTAAAATGATTGCACAAGATTTTTCTTGATAGGTTAAGGATAAAATAATCAATGTAAAATTAGTCAATGATCATTAAAAAGATATAATATTTTAGAATGAGCTAGCCTATTCTTAGAAATGGAAATGAATAAAGTCAACATTATATTTGAAATTAAATTACGTTAGTCCTAATAGTATCAAGGGAGAAATTTATACATTTTTGAATAAAATTCCTTATAGGATAAGAAGAAAAAAACAGTTATATGATCAATGTTGGACCATGCCTGAGAGTGAATTTAAATAACAATTTTTATCTAAGTAATAACATATAATGTGCTTTGTATAAATTCCTTTTATTAAAAAAAACAACACAATCCAATCCCTAAATTAAAACATAATGCAAGAAAAATGAAAGTATCTGTTCTATAAATTTTCATTACAATTGATAGTTGACATTAAAATTTTATGCTCACTAAGTCGCAATATAAAAGAGCGTAGTAAAAAAGTATATGATTATATTATATATTGGAGACCTGCAAAATCGAAATTTTAGAAGCCCGTCTATGGAAATTTTATAGATCAGACTTGCCTCATTGCAGCTCATTGGTAATTTCCTAGATTTCAGCCCCGACAGTAGTGGCTCACGAACATTTTTTTTTTAAAAAAGAGGCTTATAAGGAAAGAAATCTTAAAATAATTATTTTATTCTCTAAATGTTATGCGTGAAATTTAAATTTTCAGCAATAATTTTGAAGATTTAAAGATATTTTTCTATTTATTACAAAATATTATAAGAAAATGGATAGTAAAATATTTCCCTCTTTAAAAGTTTCTTTCATTTTTTTTTAAAATTAAATTTATTGTCATATTCAATCAGGCACAAAAAAAAAATATGAATTGGAAGGAAATGTAATATTAATATTTTTGGGCCACGGGTTCTACATTTTATTGATTATGTTACCATCAGTCGGTCCATAGAAAGTGAAATTTTTCTAAAAATATTTTATGATACAAAAAATCTTAGGACACTGTTTGTTTGCTCCCTATCTTAGTCTTAATTAACTAAATTTTATTAACAATTTCAGCCTGAAAGCAAAACAATGGAGTATCAAAAATTTTTTATAAAAAACTCATAAATTAATCAATTATCCCTTTTCTCTAAAAAAAATCTAAAATAATTATGAATATTGTTTTATATAATAGAGATAATCTTGCTTAAATATCCTAAATACTAGTATGTCGTGTTTTTGAACGATCTATCCTGGTCCGGTTTCTGAAGGACGCTTTTTGAAAAAACGAATCTTTTAAGGACTGATTTCTCAGGAAGTAAGACCGGATGCGTTTTAAGGCATATATTTATATTCAAATAATAAACATTATATGTTTACTCTTTCTTATATATGGTAATTAAAATTACCTATCGAAGAATAGACAAATTAATAATTTTAACATATAAAATTATTTTAAATGAAAAAAATGGCAGTTATATATAAAAAATTTTTTTTACCAATTACTCTATAAAGGTTTTTTTTGACCTTCTATAGTCAATTTAACATTTTCTTCTAGTTTTCCAAACTTTATTATCGAATACATCAATCAATGATAATATCATTATTTTCAATTTCCATTGAATTTTTTTTATAAATTCTTTTCGTCATGTTGATCCCAAAACTAGTTGGGATCTTTTAAAACGCGTCCTATCCTTTCATATTGATAGACAAAGGAAATAAAATAAAATATACTGACGAATAACTGATCGTTTATTTTACCATAGTCGTTTATTAAGGTATATATAATTCTAAACTTAAAATTGTTCCTTGGGTTGAACGCGTCCTTCAGACGCATTATAATAGGACTTATTTTGAATGACGGACTATGACGGTGTCCGGACAGACTTTTGCCGAACAATTAGTTGCATGAAACAGTTATATTTTTTGTTTACAATTTCTCGTATTTAAAAAAGGTTTACTTTTTTATATGTTGTTTAAAAAAAGCTGATTGAACATTATGTGTACATAAAAAAAAATAATGAATGAGTGAAATTTTTTAAAATAAAATTATGATGGAACAAACTGATTTTTTTTAAAAAAAAAAAAAAAAAAAAAATTGTTTTTAGATTTATTATATAAAAACAATTGTATTTCTAGCCAAAAATCTATGTTGGCATGTAATATAATTTAAATAGATGGGATGGGGTTTTAACATGTTATATCTTCTATAGATAGAGATTATGCATCTTATTTATCACAAGACTTTTTTAACGATTTGAAAAATTGTTATCAAATCTAGCCCATTCTTAATTTGATAATAGGCAGGTATGATGCAAATCTAAATTCTTAAATGAGAAACCTGGAGGTGGAGACGTCCTCTTGTGTTTAAAGATAGTATTGTGGGTAGGAAAAGGAATTAAAACTCTTGATAGCCACTGATGCTCTTGTTCCACCTAAGACGTGCAAAAACAGTAATATGCTAAGATATAATTATGCCAAACCACTTATTTTAAAAATTTTTTAGAAATGGCGCGTTATTTTCTTTTCATGGGCCTTTCGATTACAGCCCTGGATGACGCTCGTCAGAATTGAATAGGTAAGATATAAGAAGAATACACGAAATGAATTTCTCTTGGGTGGATGCCAGCATAATTTAGATAAAAAGGAAGATATATTTATTAGTTAAATTTTAAATGTCAAGAAGAATCAATTTTGCTTATCCTTCGTTTCGAGACCTAAGTGTTTTTCTATTTACTTTTTTAAACGTACACACCATAATAAAAATAATTCAATCTTTTTAAAAATATTTTATTCAACATATCTGAGATCCGACGGACCACTTATAAATAATAAAGTTATATAATATAATATAATCAATTATTTATAACTTGTTATATGTATATATTCGTAATTATAATAATGAAAAAATTGTATTTTTTTAAAAATGTTTAATTGAGCGTGTTATATTGAAATTAAATTATTTTATCATACTAATGGATTTTTTTCTCTTAAACAAAAAGGAATTTGACTTTTGTAATATTTACCAAATAATTTTCGATTTTTATTAAAAAATAGTGTGAAGGACGGGCGACATCTTAAGAATATATTTTATACTTTTTTTGCTTTATACCGAAAAATTCTTTAATGCAATTAAATTTGAAAAGGAATTTTTGAATTTGAACAATAATTTTTATTTTACTGAAATTGAATGCTAGATTTTACTTGTTATCAATTTTTGTCTATTGTTACGGAATGCATGGTGTCAGTAAATAGTCACATTATGAAAAGATATTTTGAACCCCATATGTATTTACCATTTTTTTTAAAGCTAACCCTATCCATGAGTTTTATAGAAATCAAGAATATGGAATAAATAATATATATTAAAACGTATTTGAAAAATTGTGAATTAGCCATATACTTTTAAAACAAAATTTTAGCCAAATCCAGGCCTTCCACTATATTTAATATATACCATCCCCACTATCCTTACATCAGATATTGTACTTTATAAATTCCTTTTATTTTAAATAATTTTAAGTATCAATTTATTATGTGACTATTTACCGACATGGTGTTCCGTAACAATAATATTTATTTCCTATTTTTTTTTAAAAAAAAGTTAATATTTTGGAAAAAATAAATTCAATCCAACTTACAAATAATAAATATTATAAAAATGTATTATGTATTAAAATGTCTGGATTACGTTTATTAATTATTATAATTATTTTTTTTAGTAATTGATTTTGATTGTTCTATTTATTCACTTCTTCAATCGATTCATCAATGGAAATATTGTTAAACGAAAACTTATTTATAAAATGGGTAAGCCAATATCGTAAAAAAAATAAGTTTGAAGAATATTAATTACTTTGGAAAATATTTTATTATTTTTTTGTATGTATGTATGTATAAAATTGATTATAAATGAATCAAATTCTTTCCACGCACGCCAAATCTCAAGATTTTTTACCCTGCATTCATAGAGCGCGAATTTGCGTTCCCCGATTTAAAAGTTAAAAATATACTTCGCTGCGAATTCGCCAACTGTGAATACAGGGTTATTGCTACGGAAATTCAATTTTTATAATATTTGTTTCGTTAATGTCCAAATGAATTTGAAAATAAGTATTCCTTATTTTTTTAAGAATATATTTAGATTCTAGGGAGAAAGATACGCAATTTTTTTTTCAATAAAAAGATTTCTTCAAATATATTATATAACTAGAGCGGGACTCAGATATCTCAATAGGTGGCGGCTAAATTGTTTGATTTTTTTCGGCATTTAGGGGCAGCATGACTATTCTTTTCCAGAAAATTAGCACTACTTACAGTTTGTTGAGAGACGGAGTTTGAGAAATATTATCAAATTTATGAGCAGAAATCCATATTTTTTTGAAGAAGAGAGATTTTGATCAAATTTTACCTAGAAATGCCAAAATATTTTAGATACGTAAATCTTTTGTAATTTTCACGCATAAAAAGTATTTCAAGATGGAATAAAAAATTTTATAACAAGAATAAATAAAAATAAAATATATAAAAAATAATATTCTTCTTTCATGCTAGCGATAAAGTATCCCTTCTTACCTTTTTAATCTAAGTATTCAACATAGGCTTATCCAGGATTTATTTAAGGGGAAAGAAGGCTTTTCGGTGGCTCTTTTAAAAATTATTTAACTTGTACTTTATTTTATTTTTCTTCAAAAAATGGGGTTTTATAAATGATATATTATATCCATTTTTGGAAGAGATGGGTGCGGGGGAGGGAAAGTGTTTGGAGAATTTTTTTTTATTAGCTTAAAATGATATTTACGAAAACTGACAAACATGATAGAAAGAATTTCCCTCTCCTCCCTATTGGTTATGCGAATGGTATTGTATTACTTCAATAAATTATAATAGGATCTTTATTCGCAAATTATATAAGTATAAATTTTTAAATTATATATTTGATAAGCCTTGTAAAAATAATATTAATACCATAACTTTATATAAGTTTTCTTTTATAAGAAATATTTGAAAAACAACTTTAAGGCTTGAATTTTTTTTTATGACCTTTTGAAATTATATGCTACAACAGTATTCTTATAAGGCGTAACTAGATATAAAAACAAATGAGGTACGCCTACATTTTATTTAACCCAACCAAAAAAAATTTCGAGCAAAACATCCCTAATATATTTAATTTAATTTTGTACCAAATTATTTCATTATTTTTTTTCCCTCTTTTTAAACTTTTATCCTTATAATATCATATTATTATGCTCGGTGTTAGATGTCATCAGACTTTGGGATTCAATCTTTTCCACAACGGACAAAAAGACATTCTGCCTTTACGTTTCTATAGCTATGCTAACGTAAATATGAATTTTTATTATTTTTTTTCTCTTAAAATTAAAAAAAAATTAACTTATTTTAAATCAGAGATCTATTCCCATTTTTAATCCTGGAACCGTTTGGCCCATCCGGAGTTTTTAACATTGTCGGTTTTAAAAAGTCGACCCAACCCAGATTTGTAATTTTATTTTTTAGGCACCAGATTATACCCTAAAATGAATAAATATCATATATTTCTATTCACAGCATTTATTATATATTACTATTAGGCTAATTCGGAATCAGCTATTAAAAGAAGATTTCGCTCATAATTTGAAATTATTACAAGTAAGAGTAAATATATAAATGATTTTTGATAAATATGTATACACTATTATATATAATATTTTCTACCCCCCCCCCCTCCCAAAAATCAAATTATAAATGGAATGGATCAATATTCAATTGTACCATAAATATCATATGAGCAGGTACTTCTGCCATGACGGAGGCGGGGGGTTTTAACGCAAGATTGCCACTAGGGGGTAGTTTTGTTTTGGATTTCCTTTTTTTGTTGATTTTGATTTGAATCTCTCTTTTTTTGTTAATTACATTTGGTAGGAGATAAATTGTCACTGATTTAGGTGGGGGAAGGGGGAGTTCTTGTAAACAAGTATCCGTTGTGACTTTTAAAGAAATATATAATTGTCAATGTCATTCTATGAAAATAACTGAAAGAAACATTAATCCATGTTTTGCAAGAAAATCTTAAATAATAAAAATTGAATCTTTATTTCCTTTAATTTATTAACTGTCCTTTTTAAATTAAATATCCATTACAATTTACTTTATTTTTAAATCTATAGAAAAATAAAATAGGAGGATTAATAAATATTTTAAAGTTATTTTATTATATCACGACGAGTGTCATGTCATGCATACAACATTTTTTATAAAGAAGTATTTAAAATTTAATTTTAAATAAATCAATATTATTTAAATTATTGTCATACTTATAATGTGTAAAAAAAGTTTATCATCATAAAACAATTGCATTGTTATCATTTTTAGTTTTGAAAATTACTCAATAAGTGAGGCAATATAAATAGATATAAATAAAAGTTCATTTTTTTCAATTTTAAAGCAGATTTTTTCGTTGTAATCATATTGATTTGTCACTTAAACTTTTGTAAAAAAAGGATGACCCTTTAATAATATCCTTTTAATTATTAAATATAGCTCATAATTTTAAATTTATACTGCTACTTTTAATTTTAAAACTTTATTCATTTAAAAATAAAAAATAATATCAATTTCAGTTAAAAACATTGTTAATTAATTCAAACGTATTTGGGGTAGGTGAATGGGGACAAAAATGTGCTCATAACATCTAAATTATATTTTATCATATTTGAGCTTTAGCACGCTTAAAGATCTTTAAATCTTAAATTGACTTAAATACACTATATTTATCCAATAGGAAGTCAGCTTGATGCACCAACCTCTATAGTTAAATGTAAATGTTAAATAATTTCTTTAATTTAGTGATAATTTTTACAAGACTGTAAAAATTGTTTTCTTATAGTTTTAAAGCTTTAAAAAGAAGTTATATTATGCCGTCATTTTAAATAGAATTATCCGAACATCGACATCTTAAAAATTATATCAAAGTCCTTAGAAATCGAACAGCAAGTCCTTGAAATAAATGGTAGCTCATACAAGGACTCGAAACGAGAGAGTCTTCCTGACCAAAATCCATTTATATAAATATTTTTTAAAAAATATACAAAAAAATCATTATTATTTTCCTTATGATTATAATTTTAATATTTCGTGATTATTTTTGTATATATAATATATATTATATTAATTTATTTATATATTATATTAATTTATTTATATATTACATTGAATTATCATTTTTTATATTTCCCGAAGAACCTGAATATTTATTTATTAATTTTAATAAAAAAAATATTCTCTCTTTTACTAACTGGTGATTTATACGAGTTAAGTCACTTGGCGTCAAAGAGGAAAGGCAAAGTCTAATTTAAAATTGAAAACCCCTCCCCCCAAGTAATTGCTAATTTTGGATGTTAAAAAATTTTGTAGAATGTGGTCAGTTAATATTGTCAAAATGGGAACGCTAGCCTTAAAAATATTGATGGGCACTTAAAAATAGTCATTTTTTTGTTGTAAAAATTAATTTTAAGACAAAAATGTTAACTTTTATAATTAATTGAACTATATTAAAACCTTTTTGCCAGATTTCCTAAATAGAAATAAACCAGTTTTTCATTTAATTTAATATGATATTTTTGGAAATTCTGTTTTTTTGCTAAGATCTATTTTTTTATATTTTAAACAAATTTATTCTACTAATGCTTATTATATGACAATTTGACGGAAACTTTCATTACCTAAATAAACTTTCTAATATTTTTTAAAACTATAATGGAACCATAATCTAAAATTTTGCCCCTGAACCGGTGTTATTAAACGCTTCGTTTTGAGCCGATTTTAAATATGGCTAACTCATATTTTAGCCAGAAAGATATTGCCTGTCTCGAGATTTCGCTAATAGATGTCTAGACCTTTGTGCCATCTATTAGCAAAATCTTCAGCCTCTGGATAAAACATTGAGTTTGCTGTTTGTAGAAATTCAAATCGAGCAGTTTAAAAACACTACCCTGAACTATAGCCTTTATATATTCTTTTTATCTAAATCATTTTTTTTATTCATATTCATTTAATTTCAAAATTATATTTTATATGGAGAGGATAATGTGATTTTAATATATAAATTTTATAAAGGCTTACAGGGTATCAAATATATTTAAATTTTAGTTAATAGAATACAAATCAAAATGATACACCCATCGACCGTAGTAAATCAAAATGATTGCCATTAACTTACATTTACTAATTTTTCAGATAAGTGAAAGGTTTTTTAGCTTCTGTTTTTATATTTAATATTATTGTCCTTGGTTTTTTAATAAATTTTTTAAAGTTACGCGTTGATTAGATAATTAACGATTGTCCAACTCCTTAGGATAAAAAAGACTCATTTCGTAAATGTAGAATCCGATTACAAAAATTTACTGAAATATTGATGTAGTCATGGTACTATTGATGATATTATGTATGATCTTAGAAATACTAAATCTGACAGTTTCAGTGAAAGAAATATAGGAAAATGCTGCAACCCATAATTTGAATATTTGAAAAGTCTATTGATGGGAAATAGGTATTCATTCCAATTTCATTGCTCAAAAAAGAATCATAATGTTAGTATTTGCAATAGATGGTTTTACATTATTTATAATATCTTTTAAAATTTAATCGGTTCTCAAAATCGACCATATATTTTTTTATTGGACAACGGGTGGCCTTTATGGAATGACCAACATTAAACCCCAATTTATATCTAATAGAAAATGTCTGGACTTTTATTAAAAATGAAGACATAGGTAAATATGGACCGCGATTTGATAAATTAGGCTAGGTATTTGTAGAGATTTTTCAAAAAGAAAGCGATCCAAACTGTCTTAAAAGGCCGTCATTGAAATGCATTATTTCTCTAGCTTTTTGGCCTTCATTTTGATTTATTTTAAAAAGAAATTTGAGCCCTTCTAAATTGAGTTTTTAAACATCCCTAACTGATTAAATCCAGCCTGGCCTCCGGTAATCCAAACTAAGAATGACTTATAGTTTGTTTACACTTTTTATTTTCGTCGCTTCTCTTTGACTCTATCTTCTTGAAACTATTATGTATATATTTATCATTCGTATATCATAATAAATTTGATTTGAATAGCAAAGCAAAATATTTATATTTAAATATTTTATTAAAAAAAATAAACGATAATTTATTTTTCATAAAAAAAAATGAAATGTCAATAATATGTAAAAAGAAATATAATTGGATTACCAAAGCTGTCATAAAAATATCAATTTTTTGTATTTGTAAAAATAAAAAAATTATATACAATAATTTATCAAAAAATAATATTATTTTATAATTTCAAATATATAATTATTTAATATAATGATTCAAAACTGCGATTTATTCGGATATTCTTGATAAATAAATTTTATATGCCTTGTTTGGTGGACACATTAAATTCCGAATATTTGGGGTAAAATTTTCAATAATATTAAAATTAAAATTTGTTGATGATTCAACTTGTCACTATTTTATTTTAAAAATTGTAATTTCTTGACTTTAGATTTTGGTCATTTAATTCAAACACCATTTAGTTCTGTTAAACCTTGTCATTTTTGATATTTTGAATTACATGTTTTCTCATTAAATTCTTAAATTTGGTTGCAAATAGTGTTTTATTTGATAAATAAGATTTCTAAATTTGTATTCCTTCTTGCTAAAATTATGCATTATAAAAAAAATTGATGTTATTCAGGAATTTAAATAAATTCTAAATCTAAAAAATTATATTTAAAAAGATTAATGTAAATGTAAAAAATAATTATTTTTGATAGTTTATGTTCATTGATGGCTATAGAATGGTGATGCTAGCAAACAACATTTTCTTTTGAACGCATAACCCTTCATTCACAGCTAGCGCGAATTCCCATCTAGGTCAGGCTCGTAACCATTGAGGGAGGGGAGAATCTCCCCATCTTAAATTTCCCTGTTCTCATAAATATCATTTTTAGGCTAATAAAATTTTTCCCCCTACACCCCCCTCCTCTCACCCCTCTTTCCCAAAAAATTAGACAATGTATCATTATAAGGATAAGGAAGAATTTGAAATAAAAATTAGTAAATGTTAATAACTTTTTAAAATAATGACTATAATTCAAAATTTTTAGAAAAGAAGCTTTTTAATAAAACAAATGTGAAAACCCAAAATTATTTTTATAAATTATAATTATAGCCAAAGGACTACAAGAAGTGGAGAAATATATGGAAAAAAAATTCACCTAATAGTGCCCCCCCCCCCTTAGCAAAATCCTGGATACGCCAGTGGGCTAGGTATATAAAAATAGAAGATATTTTGTAAACTTTGTCACGAATTCATGCTAACTGTGAATGCAGGGGGGTAGATGTCTTCTCCATTAAAAATTATTTTTCTTCTTTTCTATATAAAGAATAAAGATCTAAAATCAACAATAAAATTAGGCTTATCGCTTCTCAACTGAAATTTGAAAAAAAATAAATAATTAGGTTACCTTTAATAATGCCAATCAGTTGTTCTGTGTGTCAAGATTTCATTAATGACAAATACATATATAAAATCGACGATAAAATATGTCACCAGAGTTGTTTGAAATGTTCTCATTGCGACTCGGAACTTGATAACGAGATAACATGTTACGTCAAAGAAAACCAATTATATTGCAAATTAGACTATATGAAGTAAATATGATTTATAGAAATAATTTATCAGGGTCCTAAGAATGTAACAAAACTCTTGGGGCCCTACCGTGAAAATCTCAAACGTTTCTGGGACGCTATTATGTGATTAGCAAGCAAGGGCGGACTGGCGATACTACGGCTCATGATCTAATATTTATACCAAAATTTTTATGGGGATTTTGCCCTCTTAACTTCCATTTTGTGGGCCTTTGGCCCATCTTTACCTGACTTTTAACCGTATACCTTTTATAGGCTATTCTTATTAGGGAAGGCCCGGGTTTATATGACAGGCAGGTGTAATGCTTTTTTTGTTATAAATTTTTTAAATATTTTATAAGATTAAACTATCAGCATTAGACTAAAATAAAAAGGCTTTCATACTTTTAAACTAGTGGCCCTAATTAAGATTAATTAAAGTCCTATTTTTCACTATCTACCAACAACCGTAGGTAGGATATGGCAAGCCCTTCGGGGTAAAATCAAAAATATCAAATGTAGTAACCAACAAAACAAAAAATTTATATTTATCATAATAAATATATTATTAAAACAAATTATGAATATTAAAAAGAAATTAGTCTTCACAATAAAGCCGAACATAAAATAGATCATTATGCCCATTCAGGCCAATTAGAGCATTACAAATCATAGCGCTTTTTAATTTTATTAGAACTTAAGCTGCATCTTACACGATTCCAATACTTTTTTAAAATCTGTTTTACATTTGACGTAGAATAATTCTTGGAAATTTTTTTCCTCTCATTTGACAACATTATCCCCTAAATATTTTTCAGCAAAAAAAAAGGAAATTGAAATCACCAAAATTAGTTTAGCAAAACCATACCTCCTTCCATCTCTATCTCCTTCCTCCTACCCCCCACTCTTATTATATTTCATTAATGATCTTACGTATTAAATCTTTTTATTCTACATTCATCGGAATATATTTTTTGTGCGACTAATTCAGACATTAGTAATTCAAATTCTACAATATTTTCAGATAATATTTGATCGTTTTATTTTTTTAAACCATTTTCACTGCCTTTATTTTGATTAAAATAAAATCCAAATTACAAATACCTTATTTGGAAACTTCATTCATGGTTCATGCAGTAATTATAATCACATAGGGGTACCCAGGATCTTACTGGGAGGGGAGATTATTAAATTGATCCCCCCCCCCATACATTTTATTGGAGCGATTTAAGTCCACATATTTAATAGTCATTATTTTAAAATTATTAACTTTTAAATAATTTTCCAAATGATTGTTTATAGATATTTTAAGGGAGAGTGAGTGGGATGTGTCTAAGAGTGAAATTTTTATTAGCTTAAGATGATATTCACGAGAACAGGGTAATTTCGGATGGAGGGAATTTCCCTTTGCACCCCTCTCCGTGGCTAAGCCTATGTTATAACGATATTCTTTGTTTAAAGAAAGCGCGACGAGGGTCAATTAATTTATGAAAAAATGTGTTTCAGAAAATTTATTTATTTTTTTAATCGTTCTTCAAAATCTATATATGTGTCCATCTTATAAACACTTGCCCTTTGGACGCTTTAAGATTGACCCCATTTGGCCGTCCAAAATTTTGAAAAAACTTTTATGGTTCGTGAAAAATATATCTTAGTTGTTCGGCTCTTAATAATTTTTTTAAGGCAAAATGATAAATTTACATTATTCAGTCAGAATTTTAAAAAAAGGATTTTGCACTAACTGTCCGACTCGGATAAATATTATGCATAAGTTTCCTGACCCGATTGCCCGCCGTTAATCTTCCGCCTATGGTTCCATTCCCATGAAACATCTGCTATGAATAGTAATAAGCTACTACACCAGTGATGAAAAATAATTAAATTCATTAGGGGTACGACTTTTAAATTTTTAATACCTTTTCTAAATAATCAACTCAATTTAAAATAAAATAAGATATAATTCCATCTAGATATTCCGATGGGTTATTTTATGTCAGAAAGTTTTTTTCTGACTTTAGGTAATTTCTGGGGATCTATTTCCAAAAACTAGCTTTAAAAATGGATTATAACTGTTAAATTCTCTCTAGTGCTCGAAAATCGACTTGGCTTTTAGTTTTTAAATACTTAAAGAGTTTCTTGTACGATTTTAGACTTCTTGCTATAATTTTATGAAAATAGTAACAAAGTTGCCTTTTTTCATAGGTAAACTGCTAAATCTAATGCCACATTCATATAAATTCTTTCAAGGGGGGTGAAAATATTAAAGTGCATATTTTAAAGTCTTACATTTTTATATATCATTTTATTGATAAAACTAAGATATTTTTGCCTCAGGTCTATTAGAAATTTTTACTTAATTGTTTTATTATAAAATATGATTCAAAGTTTTGTAAAAATTTATACCTAAATCTTATTAAAAATTAATATGATAAGAATAAAGATTATTTTATTAAAATTAATAATTTTAAATCTGGAGTTGAAAAATAAATAATAGGAATTGACAAATATAATATATAAATAAATAAAGCTAAGTTTAAATCAGTTTAAAAATTTATAAATTTTCCTATGCTAGCGTCAATGTCTTAATTTTTTAACTTTTGAGCACGTTTATTAAAACTAAAGAATCTGTTTTTACCTGAAATGTACACTATCATGTTTCGAATACCAAGTAGCGTAACTAGAATTTATCCATGGGGGAGGGGATTTGAAATTTTTAAATCCGAATTCTGAAATATGTCAATGTTAGAAGCCAGCATAAATGAAAAAATTATTAGTAACAAAAAGTTGGCAAACCTTACGACTAAAAAGCAACTTAAAGCAATATCCTGAATATTTTATCAATGTTTAGTGCTCAATTGTAAATTATTATTCCGTTTGGTAGACAGTAGAAATATTTTTAAAAATATGGCATTATGCTAGAATGATAAATATAAAAGAAACTATATATCTGGCATGCGCTAATATTTAGTGCCTTAATAATACTTCTAATTCCTCAATCAAATATGAGAATCATAAAAAGAAACTGGCTATAAACAGAATGGGAACTACGACGTCATTCTTTAAGCGTGAAGTTAGACAATTGTTTGGGAAAATCTGAAACTTATACCAAACCATTAAGTAAGGCTTTATTGGAACATTTTATTGTTTTTTTCTGTTTGGTAGATGATTTAAGGAGAAAAGAATTATCGGTAAAAAATAAAAAATGTCAAAGTTAGCATATGAGAACAGAGAATATAGAGATTATAATTATCTGGTCTGCGTTAATATTTAACTTAGTAATTCTTTAAATTTCGCCAGCTACAAAAAAACTAAATTAAGAAGCAAATACAAACTATGATATCACGCCTTAAGCGTATAAAATCATTCTAAGATATGTGAGCATTATCTTGATATTTATGTCAATAATTAGTGTATATTTATTTCATACCTTTTAGTGGTCTTTATCGCAAAATAAAAATTAATTTCCAAGATTGAAATTATGTTAGAAGGAAAATTATAGAAGCTATGAAATAATCTAAGGTATGATTAATACCTAATAAAAGAAAGAAAGAATATTTAATAGATATTAAGCAATATAAATTACATTATTAAATTTATTAATGACTTTTTTTAAATTTACAAAAATATTCGGGGGTTATAGGGGGCGGGGTTTAACCCCAAACCTCCCCTTGTCTACGCCATTTCGTAATACCTACTCAATGAATTTATATATTTACCTTAAACATTCATTTCTAAATTATATAAAAATCTATGAAAGACCTGTATAATTTATATTAATTCAAAGATTCAGAGGCAAAATTTTCTAAAAATCATGTGATTTTCTAAACACGTTACAATACATTTACAGTGACATCAGATTTTGCAAGTATAAGATTTAAAAAATAAGACATTGACTGTATATAACAGCATTGATGTTAGCATATACATAGTACATTTATAGCCTCCAGCTTAATATATGTCTTAAAACGTTTTAATTTACCGCTTCCTCTTAACCTTATTTCAAAAAATATAAAAATATTATTTGATAGATATTTCTCATCAAAGTGCGCAAAATGCTTCCAAGGTCTACAAGCTAACGATTGGGTCAGAAGGGCAAAGAACTACATATACCATTTGGCTTGCTTTGTGTGCGACATATGTAAGCGACAATTATCAACAGGGGAGGAGTTTATAATGTGGGAAGATCAAGTTATTTGCAAAAACCATTATTCTGAACCAGAGGATGATTTAGAAACTTATGAAGGTAATATCAAATAGAAATTTAATTGTTTTTTTAACCATCACTTTGATTTAGATTGTTATATTTATTTCAATTTTTTTTATATAAATTGGTTTGAAACGGTTAATCCATTTATAGTGTATTTTTAAGGTGTAAATAGTTAAGTATGTAATAATATTTTAAATTATATATATCACTAATTAAGAAAGGCGGCGATAATTTAATAGGTTTTCCCAACATACGTAGTAGGTTTTACATTTTAAATCATTAAATGAGCGCGTTTTATTTAGAGATTTTATTTTTCGAAAATATATTATGTGTATAATATCCACCCTGTAAATTTCAGACAATGTTATTACCAACTTTTAAGAAACCTTAATTTATATTAATTTTTTCATCGTTATTCCATATTTTTAATGTAAATTCTTCAAATGTTAATATTATGGCCAGATAACACATAGTATTTGGCCAGTCAATATTTTGTATATTGACTAGCCAGAAAAACAACTTTTACATCTCATCTAGCTCATAAACTACTATTATAGATAGAGCTTTGATTCAATTTTATTTTAAAGATTAATAATTAGGCTACACATTGATATAAAATTTGTTTGGTTAAACCCAAATTTTAATATCTTTTTTTTTTAAAAAGCAAAAACATGGCCATTTGTGCCACATTTCCCCTACATAAATGAAAAACGGTTAAAAATAATGATAATTAATTATTAAAATTTAATGAAATGAAAGTTTTCGAGATTTTATATTTGAGACAAAAAAAAATCAAGTAGGTATAAGTGTTTGTATATTCTCGTTTTATTTAAAAAGATTCCTTATGATATGCATTAGAAAATATTATATTAAAATAGAAAAATTCTAACACTAATATTTCTTCCAAATTTTTGCAATATTTCCATCTATTTGGCTCAATTATTTGTAAATACAGGAGTTATGACTAACCACAAAATGCAAATATCATTAGAATTAAAATTAATTTAATAATTTTTATATAAATCGTTTAGTTCCTCTTTGTTTCCTTCTACAATAAGCTCAAATGTTAACAAAATTCTTTCAAAATTATTATTTTCTAAAAATCTTTTTAGGTGAAACGTGAGTCACAAAGGCAATTATAAATATTTGCTTTGAAAATTGGTTATTATCAAATAATTTTAGATTTACATTTTAAAATAAATTTTGGGTTTCAAAGTTTTATTTGCCCTAATCCATAGACTTTGATTTTATTAAAATAAAGTAATAAAGAATGTCAGCACTGCAAATCAATATAAAAAAGAGCGAATTAAAAGTTTTTGTTATAAGGGTAGACTTTTTTCTTCTTCTCAGAATGTCTATTATATTTTTCATTTAATTTCACAATACCCGCTCATGCGAAGTAAACTTGGGTTGTGCAGAAGCCCTTAGGTAAAGTAATGTATTTCCGTAACATTCCCAGTTAGTGAATTTCAGGGGCCCCTACACTTTCTGAGCGAATGAAGCAGAATACCCCCCCTGAAAAGTACCCCATTGAAAAGTACCCCCCCCCCTCGAAAAAATGATAATTATTTTATGACACCCATAAATTTCAAAAATAATTTTTATTGCATCAATTTTTAATATATAATATAAATAAAATGCAAAAAATATATACTTTATAAATATTATTTTTAAATTAATAATTTAGATAAATTAGGGGAAGAGAAAACGAAAGAATTTATAATTTCATCAATATTTAATTGTTTAAATAAATTTTTTTCCATTTATAATATGGTTAAATTATTGAGAAATGAATCTTTCATGGTACTACGAAGTCTTGTTTTAATTAATTTAATTTTACTCGTGACTCTTTTGGCAGTACATGAGGTTGTAGGAATGGTTAATAAATATTTATATAAAATTCTTAAATTAGGGAAAGCAAAAAAATTTAAAAATAGACGATAAGGTAAAATAAATTTTTAAAAAATATAAATAAAATGCCCTTTACTCTCAACCCTTTAATATAAAAAATATAACTTATCAATCCAAAATAATCCTTTCTAATAATATTAAATAAATATAATAAACATTACTAATTCTACTTTATTCATCAATATATAACTATAAAAATATTAAATCTTCCCCAATCAAAACCGTCTTCAATATCTCCACTCCAAATCCAAACAAAGAATTTTCTTTTCTAACAACAACCCATGTGATAATTTTGTTTTCCTCCCATCCACCAGTTATTTTCCTGTCAGAAAATAACTGACATTTGATGTATTATATTAAATTTATTTCTTCTTTTTTTCAACAGCTACAACATAAATGAATAGTTTTTTCAATCTTAATCGTAAGTCCTTGAATTATCATCATCATCAGAAGAAGCTAAATAATGTATTGGTAAAAATATTTTAATTAAATAAATTTACAATTCTCAGAATCTGATAAATCTTTAGATTCTTGAACGGTCATGAGTAATAATTACATTCCCCATTTTGGCCATCTTATAAATATTTCAAACTTCAACATTTCTTCGAAAATTTGACTTGAATTTAAATTGTAAAATTCACAGATATCCTCGATATCTTCTTTAATAATTGATTTTTCTGCCATTTCCTTTGGCGTAAAAAATGATGTTTGATGTAAAAATTTCATCAAACCATCATTAAATCTTTCGTTAAACTGCATATGTTGTATTCATTAAAATTTAATAAAGCTAAATTAATATTTATTAAAAGTAGAGAGATGAATTTCTTGTTCTACTTTATCAAATCTCTGCTCTGTGTCTGCCTATAAAAAAATATAGCAGAGATAAAAAATAAAAGTAATTAAATGACCTCAGGTTCACTAATTTCATGATCATTATCAGAATCATCAGATACTATATTTTCTTCTAACATATTTTCTTTATTATTAGGACACTTTTAAAAGATAATTATATTAATTAAAAATATTTATTATACCAACAGCATTAAATTCCCAATCCTTACTTCTTTTTTCTTAAATTGCGATTTTTAATACCCTTTATAATAAGATAAGTATAAATAATTAAATATTTAATAAAAAAATTACTTTGCTATTTGTCCAATTTTAAGTAACATTCTTAAAAGCTACTATTTCAGATCTTTATATCGTTAAAATTAAGCCCACCATGTCTTTTTCTAATGTGATCTATCCATTTATCATCTCTTATATTATGCGATTTGCAATTTTTAATTAGGCATTTGTATTTTTTTTGGTTAATATTTTTAGGCATATTTTAAAATTAGAAAAATAATTTATGACAAGAAATCTCGGATAACAACCTAATTTACTAAACATCTACCAAAAAAATATTAAGTTGGGGGGGGGGAGGTGTCTTATTATTACATTTATAAACCAGAAATCACTTGATCATGATGGATGTAACAAGACAGTAGAAGAATTAAATAATAAATAAAATTTAAAAAAAAAGAAGTACCCCCACTCAAATTTACTGAAGCAGTTGCTTCGGACCCCCTTCCCCGTTGTAGGGGCCACTGGTGAATTTAAGGTTCACTTTCACTTAGATTTTCACATCAATTTAAGGATGGAGAGAAATAGTAATTATTTGATAATTTGTCTTATAAGACTTGTGAGAGGGATCATATAATATATATAAAATGATTACAAACAAATAGAACACAGAAAAATTCAGATATTATAGTCCTATTCATTTCAGACAGCAAAACTCGTCAAATCAAATATAATATCTTAGTAAGGATACCATTAATTCGGATATAATAATTATAATCATATGCTGTTAGTTATCTTAAACTTTGATATATTTATTTAAAGCAGAGAACTCTTAATATACAAATAGGGGCATTTAGCATGGAGAGGGGAGGGCATTGGCCTATCCAATATTTCCCTATAGGGGGAAACACTATCGGTTGATTTTTTTGAAAATTTATTGGAGATCTTTAGGTCTACTTATTGTTGGCCTTTGGCCATAATTTATTTATCTAAAAATAATTTCGATTTTTCACTTTTTTTTTATAAAATGCTTTTTTTCTTGAAATTTTGAATTATAGTCATTATTTAAAAAATTTCTTTAAAATTCTTCTTTATAGTGATATATTTATGCATTTTGGGGAATGATGGGGGTGGGACGTATAGGGGAAATCAAGAACATAAAAATTTGCGATGGAGGGGGATTTCCTTACCCCTGACTTGGTTACATGTCTGGGGGGGGGGTGTAACGAAAGATTAATTGAAATTGAGGAAAGGTAGAAAGGGTTAGGAGGTAACTTTGATTTTTATTCCTTATATTTTTTTGCTAATTTTGATATTGGTAGTAGGTAAAAAAATTTATAATTCTCCCTGATCTCACAAAGATATCACTATTTTATACGTATAAAACATTGACGGCAAATCCTAGGCTAAAATCGATTTTAATATTCATTCAAATTTATATTGTATTGTCTTAAATAATATCCACTAAACAAATAGAATGAAAAATATAATAATAATTAAATGCATTTTCTAGAAAATCCTTACAAGTGGTTTTATTTTCCCTGCTATTATTATAGGCTATTCACGATTTATATTTAAATTATATCAAGATAATATGGCGATGGTTTATATATACAATAAAAAACATATAAAAAAACATAATTTTGTTTTATATAACACGTCTGTAAACTTAAATTGAGAAATGTATAAATAAATATTGTTAAGTTTTTTTTTACCATTCTCAATTTTTTTTATAATTTTTTTATAGTGATAAAAAATATTTGATTTTATACGGCCCGACCCATGTACCCAGGCCGAGCTCAAGCTTGGGCCGGTCCTGCAGATCTCTGACTTATATTAAGAAATTTATAAGGATTTTTTTTATAAATATGTTTTCAAAAAAATTATTTACAAACATTTATAAATAAATTCATTTAGACTCATCAGATTCCGAAACTAGACACCTTTCCCACAAATCCAAAAGAGTGCGTACAACCTTTACAGAAGAACAGATCAGGGTTAATAATTATATATCATATTGAATTTTTGTTATATTTTATTAAAAACTTAAATGATAGATATTGCAAGCCAATTTCATGATTGACTGTAATCCGGATGGCGGAGATTTAGAACGTATTTCCCAATTCACCGGATTAAGCAAAAGAGTTGTGCAAGTTTTTAAATAAAAATTTTGCAATTTGAATAATTTTGAACAATTTTAAGAAAATATATTATTCCTATTAAATTATTTTCTTCTATCATGCATTTTTCTTAAGGTGTGGTTCCAAAATTCGAGGGCGAGGCAGAAAAAGTATATCAAACCATTGGATACATATATGGGTTACCCTTGCTTATATCCTCAATATTACAGGCTTTCCAACTTTGAACCCAACTCATCGGATACTTATGCCAGCAATATTATAGAATACAAATGCAAAAAAACAGATGATGTTCTCAGTAATAGCGATCATTGTGAAAACTCTTGCCATACCCCAGATTCAGACATACAAGAAAATGTTATTAGCCCTTAATTAATACCTTTTTAAAAGATAGCCATAACATGTTACAGTGCAATATATTATATATTTTTTATAATTGTTATATTTAATCTTAATTGTATAACTTTATATTATTTGAGTAAAACTATCTTTAAGAGTCATTCTAGTTCTAAGATAAAATCTTATATATATATATATATATATCAGTTATATTATATATACGTCGTATTGGAATATGGAATCCATGGGGATACGGAATCTCTCAATTTTAAATAATTTGCTGAAGCAGATTTTTAAATTTCAAAAATCTAATTTGACAGGAAAAGTATTTCAGCATATATAGGGTACTCACAATGTAAATTTCAGACAATTTTACCATGAACCTTTATTAGCCGTTCTATTAATTTTTATATATATTCTTCATATAAATTAATAATTTTATGGCGAAAATTGTCTAAAATTAATAGGGTAGGTACTCTACACATGCTGGAATACATTTCTTAATTAAATTATAATTTTAAAATTTAAAAATCATCCCCGGTAAATGATTTAAAGTTGAGAGATTCAATCCCCACGGATTCCATATCTTATTACAATATATATTTTTTTGATAATTATCTATTTATTGTGTCGAATTTTGAGGTTAAGAATTTTTGAGAGCAGAATTTAATATTCTTAAAAAAAATATGACATTTAAAATTATGTTGTATAATTGGATTATTTTATTTAAGTTACCGCCAATTACACCATAGAATATAATGAATGAATAATAAATATAGACTTATTATTATTATATTAGATCACATGGTATTATATTGCCTCAATCAATTTTATTCAAACACTTCATTTTATCAATTCTATTTCTCTAATATTAACATGGTTTTCTATATCCCCTTTATTTGAAACCTTGGTCACATCTTTTTTCTATAAACTTGTTTCTTAGGTGATAAAACAGAATTTGAGAAATTATCTACAGAAAAAATATTCAAGAATTTATAAAGTATTAATAACATTAAATGTATGATTTAGTTTTATAAGTTTTTGTAGAATATAAATTTTTTCAAAATATATACTAACTTGTCATATCATATAAATAACCTTAGCTCATATCGGGCTCATAATTTTTTTTAAAAATTCTATTACCCAAGGACATTTTGACTTAAAACATTACGTACCGCGAATACTTTGTCTGATCACCAGTTTATTATATTTTTCTTACTAAGATCTAACCTCAATCATCGCTTAATGATTTATATTTTTAATTACCTAAGTTTTGGGACTACCTTGAACATAAAATCTATTATAAAATCTACCATTTAATCTTGGTTAAATATATGTTAATTTGATCGAAGGATAAAAGATTATAAGCATTTTAATTCAATTGTATTTTACAAATCGCAGCCTTTTAATGTCAATAATCCCATGATCTTCTTCATTAAATTTTTGTCTCATATAAATTCTGTCTCTACCTTACCTATTAATTCAGTCAATATAAGGGTGAGCAGGTGCTACCATTTCCGCAGGTTGTATAAAAATGAACCTGTTTACAAAAAAATATTTATTTAATAACTCGTAGTACCATGTATTAAATTATTTATTTAAAAAAACTATTAATAATTTCGAATATTCTTAAGCAATTTTCTAACATGATTCGATTAAGTTTTATGTTTATCTTTTATTTATAACAATGACCTGCAGAGGTGCCATCACACCGGGCCCGGTTTTTTTTTATGAAAAAATTTTTCGGCCTGACCTCTGGATTTTATATTTTTAGGCCCGGCAAAGGCTTTTTTTTTTAAAAAAAATTTCAGGCTCGGCTCTGATTTTTTTAAAATATATACTTATTATTTATTTTTATAGCTAATAATGGTGATTTCAAATATTTGGTTTTAAAATATAATGCCCGGGCCGGGTATTATTTTTTGAAAAAATTTCTGATTTATAATAAACATCATGTAGTAATTTACAAATTTATTAACGATACTTTTAGCTTAAAATGTATTGTATGTAACCAATACTGATGCAAATTTTTGATGCAATGATACCGATACAAATACTTTCCACTATATGTATGCAATACGATACATAACATGGATATTTTTTCAATACATTTTTGATAAATTTTGAATAATTTATTGCTAATTAAGAATTATATCTATATATTAAAAATAGTATAATACATGCCTGCAGATAAAATATGTATAGATTAATATCAATTAAATTATATTATTATATGATTTTAACAATAAAATATTTTCTGGAGACATCCCCTCCTATCAGTAAAATTTTTGTCGCACTGTAAAAGCTCAAATGGCGTGCTGTAAAGGATAGTATTACTGTATTTAATAAATAATTGCTTAATATTAGGGAAATTATTAAAAATGGCGAAATCTATTTTTTGGGCTGAAAATCTAAAAAAATATTTTCATCAAATTATTTTTAATATTTATATAATATAATGTAAAATAACTTGGTTTTGGATTAATTAAAAAATTTTATTTGTAAATATTTATGCATAAATTACATATTTTTTATATTTCTAAATTTTTAAATTATACTAGAAAGTAAACTTATGTAAGATATAGAAAATTCGAATTAATAATCAAATAAGCAATTTAAAGATTTATATATATTTTACTATCATTTAAGAATAAAAACTCGATTTATTGATACCGGTACATAAAATTGGCGGAGAAGTTGTCGATATTTTGAAATTTCAAAAGTATCTTATATATCATATGATACCCAAAAATGTTTTACCTTAATAACTCTGGTACTTTGATTAATAATTAATTTATCAAGTAAAATTCTATAAAAATTTCGTATCATAAGCCGTATCCATAAGGGGCTACCCCCAACAAATTTTGGCCCCTAAGCATGGCTTCCTAAAAAAATTCGGCTTTTAGAAATCGCCTCCAAAAATATTAGGTATTAAATTATTAAATTTTCATTCGCCATTAAACATTAAATCTAATTTAAAAAAACAACAAAATTTTAGATAAATAAGTCTGTTAAAACAGAAAACCTTTAAGGGTCATTTAAATTCAATATTTTCTTAAATATCATTTTTTAAAATAAATCCCCCTCCACCCAAAAAATGGATACAATATATCATAAGGAAGAATTTGAAAGAATTAGTAAAAGTGAATAACTTTTTAAAATAAGGATTATAAATTAAAATTTTTAGAAAAACACTTTTATAAAAAAAATAAGTGAAAAACTTAAAATTAAAATATAATATAGCCAAAGGCCTACTATAAGTGGACCTAAAGATCTATTTATGGGAACCCCGCCTCATCATGGGGTTTCTTCTATAGGATAATTCCAGATACCCCTATGCAATGGTCAATAATTAGTGGACGTAAAGATCTTTTAAAATTTATAGAGAGACTCACACCTAATAGTGCCCCCCCCCAACTCTTTAGAAAAATCCACTCCTATAATTGCAGTATATTCCCTTTAATTCGGGCAATTTTAGTCTTTACCGCAAAATAAACTGTTACAGAAAGTTAGAATATATATTTGGTAAATATAAATTGGGACATTGTATATCGCTCCCTGTTTTAAGCATAAAAGCCTAAATCTTGCTAATCGAAGAAATAATATCTATGAAAAGGATTTCAACAATATAAGTTTTACACATAATTTAATCGATTTCAAAAAGTCGTAAGTTTTTAGCTGTTTTATTATTCTGAATGAAATAATATGTATGCCAAAAAATATATTAAGAGTATATATAAGAGTAAAACAGAAGAGATGCAAAATTTAAATAATAGAGATCGATTGCTGACAAATTACGATATTTTAGCGTTGAGATTATTTTATATTAAATTAAATAGTATTTTACCTTATTTATAAACTTAACTATCATGCATACATTCTGTATAATATTGGATCACGCCTTCTATTTTAAAATAATGTATTTGCAGATTTATAACTACGTATAAATCATACGTTTTATTTTTAAATTTTTCAAATAACAATCATTTCATAAAGTATATTATGTCGTAATAATTCTCCAGCTATATTTTAAATGTAAATCACAATCTGGAATCTTAACTCTTTAAGTTTTATTTTTTTCCCCGTTTTCTTCTCTCTTGTAATGCTTTCTTCTCGAACAATCAATGACTCTTATGTAACTACTGTCAGCGAAATATAAAAAAAAAGCTATATTAGTTTTTAACACTGGGAAGTCTCTCGTGAAAGAATAGGGAATAATATTTTCTCAAACCTAACTTCTCACAATAGCAAGATGAATACCGAAAATATAGGGAAGCTTTCTTCTATCCGAGATCGGGACACCAATCAGGTAGACGATGAATCTGAGCTCAAAAAGAGAGGTTATTTCTTGGGATCGACACTGGGAGAAGGATCCTATGCTAAGGTTAAACTAGCCCACTCCGAATTGATGCAAAAACGAGTCGCCATAAAAATAATCAATAAACAGAAGGCCAAACGAGACTTCGTGGAAAAGTTTTTACCCCGAGAACTTAGCATAATAAAAAAGATGCACCATCCCAACATCATAGAAATTTTTGACATAATTCATGTCGGATATAAAGTATTATATTGACAATATATACCATTTATTTTGTTTTTTTAGTGAAAATTAATCAAATCCTCAATCAGTAGTAAATGAGGTTTAAAGTTCCTAAACCCAAGAGAGGTTAGGTTTACAAAATTGTTTAATATCATATAGAGCGTTCTTTATACAATTTTTTAAAGTACATTATATATAAATTTTTTAAAAAACCTTGTCCTAAATCTTGAACTTTATTTTAAAATATAGATATTTTTTTAAGAATTAACATTATCCTTATAGCAATTCTAAGTATGTTTGCTGATGTAGTATAGTTAGATAAGTCATTAAAAGGTATAACGCATAACCTCAATAAAATTATATAAGCCAAAGTGATGATTGAAAAATGATTAATAATGATCAATTTCTAATTTATTAATATTTCATACTTTGAATGTTAAATATAAATTATAAATATATCCTAGTCCAAGATACAATAAATTTGACACCGATATTGAGTAGAGCTCTGTGTCAGTGTCGGATAATGCTAAAAATCTCAATTGCCGATCTTTAATAAAAACGGCTAAGCAAAATCTTCACCAAAAAATATATTAAATAAGCTTCGACGTTGCCATTTATTAAAAATCCGCTAAATCAAGGGTTTAAAACATTCTTTAAAGCCCGATACGGGCATGGGCTTCTATTGAATCATTGGAGAGATTTAATTAACTAAGGTTATAAAAAATTAGTCAATTATATTGAGAAAACGAATAAAAGTTAAAAAAAAAAGCGACCAATTTTCAGAATAACTCACAAAACTACAACTATTTATTGGTTATGGATCTTTATTCAAAATTTAGCCTCAAATAAATTATTTATTATATTTTAGATTTACGTAATTATGGAGTTAGCGGGCCATGGCGATCTATTACAATATATAAAGCTCAAGGGGGCTTTAGATGAAAGAAGAGCGAAAAGAATGTTTTCAGAACTCACCAGTGGTGTTTCATATTTACATCATAATAACATAGTGCATAGGTTGTAGATAAAAATTATATAAAAATTAAACATATTTATATATATAAAAATTAAGAACTTTTTATATCAATGGTATAGCTAGATCTTAAAAAGGTACAATTTTTATATCGTGCTCAAAATGGGAAATATTTTAGAAATAAACTCAAATTAAATTTAGGTTGTATTTATAGAACACTATTTTTCCGCTCCGCAAAAACGCAACCTATTATTCAAAACTATATCAAATTCCAAATAAATATTTTTCTCTTCCCTAAATAGGTTTTCTATCCTATTTTCTATCTCTTAATTTTAACAAATGCTATATAAAAATAAGGCAATATGGTTATATTTTTAATTCACATCACCGAATTTTTGTTAAAATTTCAAGTAAAATCCAAAGCTTCTGGTCCAGTTTTTTTAACGCTGCGTTTAGAAAACTTGCAATGTAAGTTAAGAGATCTTGCTAGATCATATTTTTACGCTGAGTTTAAAACGCAAAAAACTATTTTACGTTTTCGTCATTTAAAAAAAACTGATTTCTATTTCATTTTTTGATATGGGTAAATTACAGAGTTTATAAATTTATACTATTAAAATAATATTAAGTGATTTAATACATATAATTTATAATTTAAACATCAATTTAGAAATGGTAATCTTATTTATTAATAAATATGTATGTAAATTGAAGCTACTCAACGTTTCAAAGATTCTTAAATTTTAAGGCAGCGTAAAGTAGCCTTTTTGAGCGTTTGCAATGCCTCATTAAAGAGATGATTCAGGATTAAAAGAGAGAATTTATTTCTCGTATCCTTAACTATTGAATGCGTAATAAACGCAGCGTTAAATAATTGCACCATTTTTTAAAAAATTTAATTAGAGATTTAAAAATTATAAAAACAAATTTAATATTTTTTTTTCTCCACATTTATCAGGGATCTAAAATGCGAGAATTTACTCCTTGATATCAATAATTCGATAAAAATATCCGATTTTGGTTTCGCCAGGTTTTACGATGGATCAGAGCTCAGTAAAACTTATTGCGGGAGCGCCGCCTATGCGGCCCCGGAAATTTTGCAGGGAAATCCTTACGTGTGCCCTTTGTACGATATATGGAGCATGGGTGTCATTCTTTATATCATGGTTTTATTATAATTTAAATATTTTTATTATACTCTTATAGTTCAAAAAACACCTTTATAACACACTTAATGATTTCTTGAATTTTTATAGTGAATCAATAAGAATATTGCTCTTTATATTTCTATAAATAGATTTTACACTAATATATATATTTTTTAAAGTATATAGTTTCACAAAATTTTTATTCTGTTTATTATTTATTTTAAAACTGACAAGGAACTTTAATATTCAATTGGCCATCTTTTATTCCTCTAAAATAGATTGTTAATATTTTATTTATTTATAAATAAAACTGAATCGATGCAAACTATTCAGGTATGCGGCTCGATGCCCTATGACGATTCCAACATTAAAAAAATGATTAAAGATCAAATGGAAAAGAAGGTAGGATTCTCCAGGTCGAAAAAATTGTCTGCGGAAGTCAAAGAACTCATATACAAGTTACTCGAATCCGATATCAGTAAAAGGGCGCGAATTTCCGATATAAAAACTAGTAAATGGCTCGGAAACAAAAGTGAATACGTAGAGGACGAAGAATCCACAGCCGATTCCTCCACTTACATTGCTAACGATGAGAGTGAGATGTCAAAAAAGGGCCCCGAAAAATTAGTAGCTGAGGTTAAGCCCGATAAGAGGAAAGATCAAAAATACGTGCATCAAATACTCAATTCCCGTGATATGAAAACTGTGGACTGATTAATTTTACAAAACATTTTGTTTTTTTAATATATTGATTTTTTTATATAAAAAAAATGAGAGAATCACGGTTTATCAATAAAATGGTTAGCTTATAAGAAATTAAATAATTTTTGGATATGGATGGATGTTCTTCGCAATTCTTTGGCGTAAAATATTATTTAGGGGAAAAAAGTAATTTTCATACTTTTTCTTAAAAGTTCTTTAAAATATCGAGGAATTTTAGATAAAAGTTAAATGGTATAACCCCAACTGAAGCAAATACCGTTATCACAGCTTTGTAGTGTTGTTTATTGGCCCGATCAATATTTTAGCCAAAATAATATTATATAAGACTGGAGATTTTGCTCTGGGATGGCAGAAAGGTTTGAACCTCTATTTACCAAATCTCGAGGCTTACATAATAATATTTTGGAATATTAATCGGGCAATTACAAATCACCCTAGAGAAGAGTGAATGCTTAAAAGATTGGACCTGCAGATTTCCAGGGAAAATTGGGGTACCCTGAGATCTGTCTCATTTTTTTCCTATGATTATAATGAAATTGAGGGCATCACTTCAAAACATGCCTAGGGTTTTGGTAATCAGTATGAATACGCTGTTGATAAGGCCATCATATTTGTTTTTCTTTAAGATTTCAGCCTTTTCAATGGCTGAAAATAAGAAGTTGTTGGACTTTGCTGCAAAATCAACACAGGTATAGTCCCAAGCGAGCAGGAGACCATTAGTCCAGGGAATGAGGGATATTAGGGCGTGCAAGTGGTACTTCTAAAAGTCTCTGATATATATTAATATACCTTTCTAATTACATCGGCTGGCGGTGAATCGATTTAGACCCCGCCATAAAAATCGGCAGTAGCGCAGTGGCATCGTAAAATATTTTTCTAACTGTTTATAGTTAAAAATTAAAGGTAAATTTATTTTTATTAAAATATCACTACAAAATATAACAATTTAAAAAATATTTCACATAAAATCCAAATATGGTAAAATTTATTATAATGAAAATATATTGTTTAAATAATATATAAAATCTTCATAATATAGATTTGTGGTGTCAGCAAATTATTATTTTGAAATATTATAAAAAATATCACTATAAAATGTAAAAACTTTTTTAAAAAATATATAAAATACAAAATAAGATAAAATTTTAATTATGGAAAATATTATTTTTGTAATATAGGATTATTATATAAACAAGTTAGGTAAATTCCACTTCCGTTCAAAATTCCTTGCTATCCTCTTAAAGTTAATGAGAGTAGATTGTCGCATATGAATGCTTACTAAAGTAGCCATATAGCTAGGCATGTGATCCTATTTTTTTGGATTGCTGAAAACCCCATTTGAAGGAATAGGTCAAGCTAAGATAGTTACATCCAATGGCTAAATACATAAACAAAAAATTTATTTAATTAATAAAGTACTTTATTATTACCTAAGTCAAACCATGCGTTTTTCGTCTATGGTTATAAAATATATAAAATTAGGCTGTTGAGTAAACTGATTTTATATGTTTTCGCATGTAATAAAAGTTACCTATATAAAATAAAATTAAAGATAAAATTGAATACTTTGATCATTCTCATATAATGGTAAAATTTAGCCTTGTTTATGAAAGAGGATTTAAAATTCACCCTCTTTCCTTTTATTAATATTTATTTTGTTTATTCTTCTTTTCTTCATCATCATTTAGTATAAAAATAATAATTTGAATGAAACCATTGTAATGAAACCATTGTAATGAAATATTATTAAAATCGCTTATTACCAGATGTTAAATCTGCACTATGAATTAAAATCAAGCGCGATTTTGCCCGTAGAAATCACGATCGCGCTCACTATAAATTCAAGGTAAATTTTTAAAAATTTTATGGCCGCCATTATATTTGAAGCGATAAAATAATATATAATGAATTGATTTTTTAAAAATTTAATGGCCCCCAATATATTTAAAGCGATGATATAATAAATAATATTTTACCAGTAGAGTCACTAGGGGAGAGAGCGCACAGCTATAGCCCCCTGAAACGAAAAAATTTTTTTCTTAATGGCTCCCTAATATTCCTCTAAACTAAAAACAAATTTTTTGATAGCCCACTGAACGATTTCTTTTATAATTCTATTAAGTATTTAATATAAATTTGATTTTATTATATAAAAATTAATTAGACTATCTAAATTATTAATAAATGAGTGCTATTTTAATTATTAGATTAGATTAATACATATAAATTATATTTTATTATTATGTCAGCTTGCAATTAAATCAAATACTGTGTTAAAAATGGAATATCAATATCTCTCATAATGTCTTAATATTAATTTAGAATTAACAGTTGAAGCTTAATTGATTTTTATTATTTAAATTATTTTATAAATCTAATTAAATAAATATAATCATTTATTATTGAAACTAACAAATTTAATATTGTAATTAGGCGAGTTCAAAATCATTAATCAACCAGGGGCGTTGCTAGGCTTTACAATCGGGGGCTCAACTAAAAAAAATTTACGGGGGGCTTCGCCCCCATATCCTCCATTTGGGGGTCGACCCGCTTTTGCACTGCCTCCGGGTTTTATATTAATTGTTAAATATAATTGAATATTATAATTTTTGTTTAAAAGGTCTAAAATTGAATATTGTATTTTTTAGTTTAAAAGGTCAGTGATAAGAAAAAGTAAAATGAAATTGTAAGAAAAAGTAAAATTGTAAAGGACATATGTATTTTGTTTATATGTAAATAAGATATTATAAAAAATGTATATAATGACAAGAATTTTGTATATAGATAGATATAATAAAATAAATTAAACTTTTTCCACTTTTTAATACCTGCCTTCCCTGTGTTTATCATTAATATATATACTATTTTAAAATTTGTAACTCTAAACAATTATTCTGAATTTCATATTTTGTCATTATAATATTTTGCATATAAAATAAACTAGCATATAAATAATCAAATCAGTAGACATTTCTAAAAATAATATTTTTTACAAAATCTATTTATTACAGTATAAAATATTTTCGATCGCTGATATAAAAAATTTTTGCGTCTAAAGAATTACAAGTGATAAAAAAGGTTAATTAATTCATACATATGCCTCAATTGATAATGGAAAAACCACATAAGGCTATAAAATTATTAGCAAGTTATATTGACAAAAGGTCATGAAACTAATTTAACTCTCTGTTAACATTTTAGACTATGTTTTATAGAATGGACTAATAAGGAAAAATTTATAGGCCTTACCAAATCAACAATTCTTGAAGAAGAGAATATAAACGACCAATCCAATCATAAACCTATATGGTGGTTAGAGCTTCCTCTTAGATGACATGATGGAATCTAGATAAGTAATCGAGAAAATTATTGTGAGATATTAAATTTCTAAAAGATTATCTTCCATTTTTAATGATACATAAACGACTACACAGTTGACCATTATTGCTTATAAAATATGCAATCATATGCTCTCCTCAGCAGCTGTAGTAATAATCTTAAATTACATAGCCACACTAATAATAGATGCTGGTTAATTTGCAGTCATCGCCATGACACTCACGATGGTAAGCCATATCAGAATTTATTATGTTAGATAAATTGATAAAACAAAAACACTAAAAATCTTTAAAAGAAATTATGCAAATATATTGAAGCCTTGAATTATTTACACGGGAAGGATGACATATTAGTAATGCAAATATATTGAAGCCTTGAATTATTTACACGGGAAGGATGCCATATTAGTAATGAAACATTTTGTAACTATAAAATAAGAACCAGAGTGATATCATGAAAGCAATTAAGATTTTTAATATATTGTCGCACCACCTCTAGTTATATTATATCTTAAAATAATAGTAGTTTGTAATAATATTAAAAATATATTCGTATTAAAAATTTAACTCAAAACTGTTTTTCAAAGAAGAAAAAAATAGTTTTCCTAAAAACACTTAAAAAAAAGAGAAGAAAATATATCTAATTTATTACATCCATTGTGAGTTGAATAATAAGACGTTTACTTTTAATAATATTTTAAATAAATTGATGGTGTTAAATATTTGAATGTAAATTGTTACTTATATTTATTATCAAAAGCATTTATTAGTAAAATTTTATAATATTATCTGTAATATATTATAAGTGTCAAATAAGTCTGTAAAAGTGGCATTTTACCTAAATTTTATAAATAATTATATAAGAGGATTATAAACTATATGCTTACTCATTTTTATAAATAAATCTCTTATAAATATTTGGATTTGGACCTCGAAAATAATTTTAGGAAGAGACATGATAATTAAATTTAAAAATCAATAATATAATAGTTGATTAGTGATTTTAAACTCGGCTAATTAGAATATTAAATTTGTTAATTTTCAATTAATAAAGGATAATGTTTATTTAATTAGGGTTATATAATAATTTAAATAATAAAAGTCAATTAAGCTTCAACGGTTAATGCTAAATTAATATTTAGTGAGTGATATTGATATATTATTAATTCAGAATTTGATTGTAAGCTGACATAGTGAAAATATAATTTATATGTATCTAATCTAATAATTAAAATAATATTTATTTAATAAAAATTTAGAGTCTTATTAATTTTTAAATAATAAAATTTAATCTATATATTACTCAATAGAATTATAAAAGAAATCGTTCAGGGGGCAATTAAAAAAATTTATTTTTAGTTCAAGGAAATATTAAGGAGCAATTTTTTAAAAAAAAATTTGCTTCAGGGGGCTCGAGCCCCCCCCCCCCCCTAATGACGCCACTGTAATCAACTATATTATTCATTTTTAAATTTAGTTCCTATACCTCTTTCTAAACATATTTTCAGGGTGAAAATAACTATAAAATATTTCTTTATAAAAAGTAAGTAGACATATAGTTGATAATCCTCTATTATATAAAATTGGTTATAAATATTAGGTAAAATGCCAATTTAACAGACGTATTTGACAGTTATAGAATATATTACAGTTAATATTTTAATAAATTTTACTAATAAATTCTTTTGATTAACAATTTGCATTCAATTCTTTAACGCTAACTATTTATTTA